ATTTTTGGAGAGGAGGGCGTTTTCGACAGGTGGAAAGGGGGTGAAATGAAAGGTGTGAGAGACGGCTGGCGAGGGCAAGGCAATTTGATACTGCCGTGAGCATGCGTCTCTCAGTCCACTGTGGACTCTGGTTTGGCAGTTGGGAAACGCCGCACCTCTGCCTCGGCCTCGATGCTTACAGAGGCTCTTACCCGCTCCCCCATCACACACGTGTCAACTATAATCCCGCTTTTCACTACTTTTTTCCGCTTTTGCACAATCTCCCCCGATCTGATCGCTCTCCCCTCGTCGTACTTATCCCAGCCCCCGGCCACGCCGCCTCAACGTCTACTCACCCTCCCGCCCCCCTCCCATCACCGTCTTCCCGCCTCTGTTCCCCGCCCTTCCGCTCCCAGCTCCTCTCGTGCCATCTCACACCGTACAAGGCTTTTACGAAGGGTACACAAACAATCCACCACTTCTCCTTTCGCTCTTGGCTTAGATCACTCAGCATCAAGCAATAAAATGGCAACGCAGGCTTTTACCGCATTCTTTCATTTCCCTATACAGTAGCACAAACAATATACATCCGTCCCACCCCTGCTCCATTGTCATGCTTTGCTCGCTTCTATTCCAACAATGGCTCCTACATTTTCGCCAATCACTCGTCGCTCTTCCTACCCGCCGTGTCTTTCCAATCGATCACAAACGGGTCTTCCACGTCCACTTTCCATCCTTTCAGATATCCGTAAGTATACAAACGTTTTAGGTTGTGCTCGAACACGTCCGGTCCCCCCCCTTGGCCCTTCAACTTCATGTAGACACCATATAGTTGCAGTGCCGCGTCAGCGTCTTCAATCGAGTCATGCGTCACTGACTGGATGTCCCCTCCGAGCAGAGTGTTGCTCAAGAATCGCAACCCCAACAATCGTTTTTTCGATACCCGAAACAGAGTCACAGTGTCAATCACCTGTTCGGGAGGAACCACAAAATTGATTATTCGAAAATCTGACTTCAGCCCATGCCCGACAAATATGCATCCCGCATCCAATAGGCATCGCAACTTTTTGTATACGCTCTTCAGGCTGGTCACCTTGTAAAGTGACCTTCCAACGTCAAGGTCACCTTCTGCTATCCCAGAAAATCGAGTCACATAATCAACAACAGGTTCCCGCACGGCGACGTATTCATCGATTAGTGCAGTGCCCTTCAGATCACCATACCCTCGTATTACAGAAACCCGCGCCAATGCCATCCGGGATGGAACCACAACTTTTCTTGTTCCATCCCCGAAGATCTCTGCGACATCCCGCCCCACAATTACAAATTCGCAATCCAACCCGAGCAACGTACCTCGCCCTGGAACTTCTTCGCCAGGTCGCAACCCCACTGCCGCGTTTCGATCCTCCGTGCCTAAAACTTCTCGCACGTTTGCATTGTGCTCCAGCTTGCACGCTTTCACCCGCTGCCATACGTCTCTTCGCACGAACCCAATCAAACACGGTTTTTTCCATCGCTTGTCAAACGCTGCTACCTCACCGAATCCATCGCATGGCGATATCACAAAATCGTTGAAGCACCACCAGTCCGCCCCAAGATTCATGTCTTTCGACTGCGACTTCTCGACTTTCTGCCGATCCCTATATTCTTGCGGGACTCGAATGTATGACACCAGGTGTCCCCCGATGTTGCGCCGCCCAGTGTCTCCCCTGTCTGACCCCCCCGCCTCAAACTCTAATTGTGGCACATGTGCAATAACAAACGAAAGATCATATTCAGCTGACTGATCTCCCTTATTCAGACTCCCCATTTCTACTTCGTTTTTGTCGTACCCGAAGCACGGTTCCCCCTCAGTTGCTGTCCTCCAGCTTTCGTCATCCCCTTCAAGTTCACTAACGGACACACCGTCGGTCACATCAACAAGCATTGCTTGTATTAGCTTGTGAGGTCGTTCCATTGCGGCCTTTGACGCCTTTTCGAGAGCTTCTATGCCCAGTTGTTGAGAGGCAGTTGGCCGGCTTCGAATGTACACATCGTCCGCTTTGTCTGACAAATCCCACCAACGCTCATATTGAGGTGCTTTTGAGTTGCATCCAATTAACAGTAAGTTGGGTAGCGACCGGATATCTCGTCGTTGCGTCATCGTCTCGAATTGCCCAGTAGCCTCACAGAATGCTCTGGTTGGATCAAGATCCTGTGAAAAGCTTCGCTCCAGTAGCTCACAAAATGATGCATGTTGTTTGCTTTCATCATTTTCGTAAGTCAACGTATGCTGAAAAGGTCGTGACCTCCTCTCCCAGTTCGTCTTGCTTGGTGTAAAGGTCCCATGCGACACTGTCTCCGTCCCGAACAAATTCGAGACCATACTGCCCTCATGAGAATGATCATCTTGGTGGAGCTGCTCCAACAAATATCTCGAAAAGTTTTCAATTCTTTGCGACAGAGGAAGTGCATGGGGACCATCCAGTAAGCCAAGAGCACCAGCATTGGCCATGGTCATGAATGCCCTTGTGAAGTTTCCTGCTTCACATGCCATTCCGGCACCGCCAAGATCAAACATATGGAACAAGAACCCTAACTCACACGAGATGCACCACTGCCTTTCGCATGTATGACTTCCAATTGCTCTCCGTAAAGGCGGCGTGAAGTACAGTACTTGCACAGCGGCATTGACGTAGACGTTTGGCAACGCATTTTCCAATCCGCAGAACAGAGCGCTTTTGTTGTACTTCAAAAAATCAAACCCTTCAAAGCTCTCCCAAGCGACGAGATCCATCTCAACGTAATAGGATCGAAAATAAGGCTTTGATAGGTCTAACTTCCTGACTACTTCGACACCCTTAGACGACGATGGAGTCCCCGATGACATGGGCTTTCCGTACTTCTTGTTTCGGTGTTTCCCATACATACCTTTCACAACAGGACTTGCTTTATGCCCTTCCTCAGAGTTTCTTACGAATGAATGAGGTGCCTGCGCGTAGCCTACAGAAGTGTGTCGTTTTGCACTGGCCGATATGTCATCTCTGACACGGAGGGGGAAGCGAGCATATGGATGCCTTTCATACAAGCTCTCAGGCAGCCCGGGTTTGATTCGGTGGTGAGACGGTTGAGTAGGGCTGTCGGATCGTTTCTGAGTTCCAAACAACTCGTCAGTCAAGTAAGAATGTCCATACTCAGGCAGCGCACACTTTGGTATCGTTGTACCAATGTCAGAGGTTAGTATTGCATCAAGCCGAAGGCTTGGACTTGGAGGTTCAGTGGTAATTGGGGACAGCCATAACGGTTCCGAGCTATCGTTAACCTTGACGGTATCTGTCGATGTCCATTCATGAATGAAGCCACCAGTGTCCCCTATTGTGAGAAGACCACTGGGTGAGACTGCCATGCACGTAAATACGTCTGAACCAGCATCAAGCTGAATAGGCTCAGTTATAGGGTACGCTGGAGTCCCGTTAGCTATTGACGATATGTCCATACACTGCAAAAGACCTTCAGGAGAAAGAATCCACATCGCCCCGTTGGTGTTGTGCAAATGCGAGCTGTACGCATCGAAAGTAACATACATTGGGGGAGCTTGGTACGCAACTGAGGGCATAGGTGTGTCCAGTCGTCGTATATCGAAAATCTTGACGTGCTGCTCGAAATAGGACACGCCACCTCGAGTTCCAATACCAGTGGCGGCCAAGAAATACCCGCTCAACGCGATACTAGTCGTGGCCCCTGCAAAAGCCGCTACCGCGTTAATCTCACGCATAGTCGCAGGATCACAAAACGAGATTCGGCCAGTTGATGTTGCGAAGATCGCAAGACTTGATGTTGCGTCTGAGGCACCCCACAGCGCTTTTGTGACACCGGTAGCACCTCGCAATGTGGCCTGACGCAATATTCGTTCTTGCTGGAGGTCAATAATCGCAAGCATTCGAGATTCTCCACCAATGCATACATGGGATTCACTGTGAGGGTTCAAAGCAAGTCCTCTTGCGTTCTTGATTGTATCGGCGCGCATGGCGGCCAAGAATGCCCCTCCTCTCGTCAGTACTGCCAACCCGTATCCCATTGCCGCAAGCACAGAATGAGATGAAACAACGATATCGCGGACGTCATCGGTGATTGAAGGGTCAGCGGAAGGTTCAGCCACGTAGGATGAGACTACCCGAGTCATATCCGATGCAAAATGAGAGTGCAACATGCCACCCGCGGTTCCTGCCCATATAAGTTCCTTGACTGGATCGAAAGCAAGGGCTCGAATCGCATCGTTTCTGCCCGGTACGCCGGCACCAGCTTCAACGCAACTAACTTCATACCACCCTGAGACTTCTTGATGTGGATCAGCATTGGGAACATACTGGTAGTCCTGATTATGATTATATGTGTTGGGATTCATTTCGCCGCCATGTGGGTAACTATGACCATGGAAGTTATTGTTCATTTGGACCACATTCGAAATTGAACAAATACGGCAATACAACAAGAATAGTACCTATCTTTGGAACATGCGTTCAACAGGTGTGAGCTTCTCTCGGTTTCTGTTTGATCCCTTTTGTCGCTGATGGCCCTGAGAGACGATTTTGTATCGAGCGTCTGCTGCGAGAGTTGAGGCTAGTTGGATAGATTCCATGGCGCGCGAGGACCAAACGTGCCTCCGTATCACGTTATGGACGTGGGCGCCGTGTCGAGACAGAAGGCAGTCAGCCTTCAGCCGTGAGTATGACACGAACCGTCCAGAAGCTGCACCGAACTGTATTCCCAGACAACTGTAAGAGTTGTAATAGCGCTGAGCAATAATATTTAGCCAAGTGCCCGATGGGTGGTGCGTGCCCTTGAGAAACGACAACATGAAAAGAGGCATTACACCGATAACGGGATTTAGTATGGGCTAGACTAATTTACAGGCCTATTTTCGGCACCTTGGACCATAAATTAGCGTGCCCTACTCTAATTTGGGTACTGTTGCAATTGCGCATGCCGGGCGGTCTATGGAAGGCTTACATCGTCTGTGTCGTGGCAGTGAGCTTACACTGCGCGGCAGGTGTCCCGATTTCAGACCAAAACGCCCTGTCAGCAGGCCGCAGGCCAATGTCGGTACATCTCGAATTGAACTCGTCAGCCGCTACAGCCATCGGGCGCGTACGAAGAACCGAGGAACGGGCGTGGGGGTATCAAAGAGGTTGCAGCGGTCGTGTGTGAGGAGTGTCGGTGTCCGGATGAATGGGCGTGTGAGCATCGGGTCAAAAGGGAATGCAGAGCGTGAAGGGGCGTCGGACCTGGGATAGTGTAGAATTGGAGCAGCCCCGCGTCCATTTAAGAGAGGAAAACACCCACAGGAAAATAGAGGACATCATCAACATCAGGGAGTGTTGAGCAAGAGGCAACTGATCCGTTGCCGCGACTGTGAGGGCTGTGTGACTGGTTTGTCGCTGTTGCCATCGTCGCTGTGTGGCTGTGTCGCTACTGATTGTGCTGTCGCGTGGTAACTCCTCTAATCTTAAACTACGTGCTGTTTTGTTTGTACTACAGAATCGAGAGTGCTACTGGGCTCGCGGCGGCTGTTCTGCTATACGCGCTTGCGGGAGACCAATCTGCAACTGTACCCCACTACTGTATATACTGTACAGTGCTGGCCAAAATGATAGGGACACACCCAATTTGCATTGCTGCAAGCTCCTTTTGCCCCAATCATAGAACAGAAGGTGCTCTCTATACATACTGGTCGTGCTAACCACGATAAAAAAGACGGGTTTATAACAGCAAAAATAGCCTTGGAACTAAATGCCAAACGTGTATACGGCGTGGCCAAAATGATAGGGACAGAAAGGACGAGCTCGTGTTTTGGCGCAAAAAGCAAACTAGGTTCCGCCAAAAGGTGAGCAGCCGAGCTTAACTTTCTGTGAAGCGATCTGCAGACACTTTTGCAGCAGAAATACGGTGTAAAGATCAAAAATATGGGACGAGGAAACGCTCTCAACGAACATGAGAAGGCATCATCCTTGGGCTTTCTGAAAGCGGTAAGACGATGAGAGACATCGCTTCACGGCTGAAGCGCTCTAAAATATCATTTCAAACTTCTTGCCTGCGCCGACGGAGTATGGGAAGAAAAAAGCACCGGGAAGACAGACAAAACTCTCTCCTACAGATAAAAGAAGGCTGCTCCGGGCGGCTTCCAACTCAACCAAAGGCTCAAACACTCTACGCAAGGAGCTAAACCTCTCTGTCGCTGCAAGATCTATTCGCCGCACGCTTCATAACGATCATAATTTTCAGTTCAAGAAGATGATCGCTGCTCCAATGACTCTCCCACGCCATCTTTTCGCACGGGAACGTTTTGCCCGCGAGAAGCTTACCTGGTCTTTCGCCGACTGGTGCAGTGTCATCTGCTCCGACGAGAAAAAATTCAATCTCGATGGAACAGATGGCTTTGCCTTCTATTGGCACGATTTAAGAAAGGAAAAGCTTATGTTTTCGAAGAAGCAGGGGGTTGAGATTCAGTCATGTTTTGGGGGGCTTTTTGTGGGGAAAGGAAATGCGAACTGGTATGTCTAGAAGGAAACGAAAACGCAGAAGACTACATTCAAACTTTAGAGAGCCATTTGCTCCCATTTGTTGATCAAGAGCTCATTTCAGGGTGGATATATATGCACGACGGAACGTCGATTCATAGGGCGCATCTTGTTAAGCAGTTTTTTGAGGAAGAGGAAGTGCCGCTTATAGACTGGCCCGTAAGGTCCCCGGACTTAAATCCTATAGAGCACCTCTGGGGTTTGCGGGCTTGTGCTGTTTACGCGGATTGTCGTCAGTTTTCTAACATTGAAGAGCTGAAGGAGGCTGTCTGGGAGCCTGCGAAAATATCACAACAGGTACGCTCCAATCTCTTATGCGGTCAATGCAACTGTAGTGCAATGCGCCTGTTAGGCAGAGACCAAGGTTCGACGGTCCAACACAAACAACAGCAACAAAACAACAACTGCCAACGGCACAGCGCTACGGAGTGTTCGAAGCTCCCTGTCCTCTTTAAGCGGGTTTGCGGCCCGCAGTAGCTCGGATCCCTGATAGGGGGGGCAAAGAGAAGGGCCCAGCCCGGGATCGGTAAATGGTGGTAGAGACTTGTAAAGGCAACTGCTCGACGAGTTCGGAGGGGTGTTTAGGTAAACCTAGTCCGATGGGTCGTAAATCCAATGCTCGAATAACGCCTTGTACACCTTATACCCTTGATAAGGTCTTCGACGGGGACGTCGTAACGTAGCCCGTCGGGAAAGAAGAAAACGTAGCAGCGCTACACCGTCGTACTGCCCGATGGCAAAGTACCAACAACGGATCGGTCCCAACCAGATTCCGATGGAACCAACACTGAGAAAAGCACCACTGGTGCACCAACACAAAAGCCCGATGGCAAATGACGTCACGTTGCGGATCGCAATCCTACAAGGTGGGACCAACTCAAGATTAAGGGAAATTAGGATAGGGAAATAAAGGAAAATTGATAAGGGAAAAGGGGACCCCCGAGCGCAAATGATAAAGTAATCTGTAGTTAAAGGGAACGTCTTGTAAAAGACGGACTTCAACCAAGAGGCGATATCAGACTCTGGCAACTCGGGTTTGTTGGGAAATAAAGGAAAAAGGAATGGGACCCCCGAGCGCTGAAGGATGCCGTAGGCTTAGGTAAAAGGGAGCGTCTTGGTAGGGACGGACTTCGACCAAGGCGACATTCAACTCCGGCAACTCGGGTTACCTTTACTGACTTGGTGGTCAGAGGGCTAAGGTATATATCGCCCCGCCGGAGCCACTACAGCAGCTCTCGGCGCTAGATCCTAGATCTAATCTAATGTTAAATAACTAATATGCAACTAATTAAAATTAATAATTAAAATAATAAAGTGAAATGATTTCCACTTTTGCTTGTCATACCCCATCGTTTTCGTTTCTTTTCACCCCCCTTTTCAGGTGCGTATTGCACTACAGCAACGCCGCTGCAGAGAATGTTACCTCGTTAGGGGAGGTCCGAGAAAGTACTCGAAGGAGGATCGCGCATCCTTGCGGCCTAGAGCAGGGGCAAAACGTCTTGTCCCTATCATTTTGGCCACGCCGTATACACGTTTGGCCTTATAGTTCCAAGGCTATTTTTGCTTTATAAAACCGTCTTTTTATCGTGGTTAGCAAGACCAATATGTATAGAGAGCACCTTCTGTTCTGTGATTGGGGCAAAAGGAGCTTGCAGCAATGCAAATTGGGTGTGTCCCTATCATTTTGGCCAGCACTGTACAGTCCGGGGAAAATGGAATGGCCCATATTTCGGGAAAAGTCACCGAACTGATACTAGAGACTTTACGCACCATGGTTTTCTGCAGTAAAAATTAAAGTTGTGACGAAAACTGCTTACACTAAATGAAATCCTAGCCGAGGCCATGACAAAGTTTACTGAAATGTGACTTCACAGTGAAGTCCATTCTGCAATCTGATTCATAAAACGTGTACACAAAAAGGCGGGAGAACGGTACTGCAGAAAGGTGTCACGGCTCGCAGCTCCCCCATCCAAGCTCTATCCTCCGCTCCCCCTCTCCTTCAGCATGGCCGAGGTGTCCACCCCTAGTCCTCCCCACCCTTCCCCGATGCTAGTCCCCCTTTAACCCCCGACGCTGAAGCTCTCATCAAAGGCCTGGCGTTCGTTCCGGAATCACCACCGACGGAGACGCTTGCCGCGCCCGCTCCCCCTATCCGCCCACCGTCTCCCGCGCGTAAGGCCGGTCGCCGCCGTAAGTTTACGGCTGGCGATGACCTGATCATTGCGCTGGAGGTTGCCGCATCGAAGGCCCACGTCGCTGCCTATGGCGAAATTCAGAAGATGTTCGCCACCGCCGCGACTAAGGCAAACTCGAACAAGGATCTATCGGTCAAGGTGACGGCGAAGAGCATCCAAGATCGCTACAAAAAGATCCAGGATGCCTTCGGCCGTCGTGATGCAAAGGATAGCCGGCTTTCGGGTGTGGGTGGAGAGATAGGTGAGCTCGGCGAGCTGCTCTCTATGATGGCAGAAGCAAGGAATGACGTCGAGAAGGCTAAGACAGCAGAATTCGTTGCCGCCGAGGCGAAAGAAGCTCGTAAAGAGCGTATTGGGAAGGAACTCGTCGCGCGGGCTCTGACCCGCAAGGGCAGTGGTGGAGTAAGCAGCCTGGAAGGAGATGAAACGGATGACGTCTTGGAGGTCGATGGCAATAGAAGTGCCCGCAAGAAACCGCGTCGCCAAGCACGTGCTTACGACGAGATAGAAGGGGAGCTTGAGGGTTTCGGAAACGCGCTGCGCGATGCCGACATGGCGCGTATTGAGCTTGAACGCGAGCGCCTTCAGTTCGAACGCCATCGCCTGGATCGAGAGACAGAGGAACGGCAGAAGGATCGTGAGGAGAGACGTATGGAGCGCCAAGCGCAAAACGAGCTTGATCTGAACAAAATGAAGATCATGATGAATTCTATAATGGGTGCGCAGGGAAGTAGCTAGGCATCGACAAACGGGTCTGAACAGTCATTTTACGGCTCGACGGAGCGTTCCGACTAGAGAAAATACAACGAAACCGGCGTAGCGTCTGCTCGCGCAGGGCTCCCTGCGGGGATACGGACGAAGTCCGCTCTCGCTACGCTCGGCAACTGGCTCCGCTCGGGACGCGGACTTTGTCCTCACTCCTAACTCTCCTGCGCGAGCATTGAGTTGTTTTTGTGAGCTAGGTAGTCTGCGGGAGTTGGAGGCTTGCAGAGGAAGTACTGCGAGATGGTGTTGGGATATACGCAATTGCGAAAGTTTGTAAGCAGCATCGCAGCGAGGTAAAGTACCCCGACCGGAGATTCCCCCGTTCGCATCTTTCGACGATAGTCTACCGTCGACCAGTAAAGCTTGACTTCCTTGAAAAACCATTCCACAGTAACCCTTCCCTTGGACATAGCCTTGTTGAAGGCATTCTGGTATCCGGTCAATCGTGACCCCTGGAAGGGGACCTCCAAGAAGTTGCGTTTGTTATATCCTGAGTCCCCGTACAGACAATACTGCAAACCATCCACCACCATGACCTCCTCCAGCTCCTCATCGAGACCACTTCTACAGTAAAGTGTCCAATCATGGCGTCGTCCTCCATGGGACCCGCCGCGTGAAGCAATAATCCATCAGGCGCGATAACGGCTTGATACTTGAGAGCGTGCTTGCGCTTGTGTCCATTGTAGGCAACGTTTTGGACGGCGCTACCGCATGGCCGAGCAATCGCGATTACAGTGCCGTCAATAAAACCAACGCAGTTAGAAAGCGCGTCACACTTTTCCTTTATAGCATGGGCGTAATCTGATGCCCGTTCGCAAATGAAAGAGGCATGCATGGGTCCTGTTATCAATTGGACGCGATCCTGGAGCATCTGCTCTATACCCTCCCAGAAAATTTCAGAGAGCTGCGCCCCATGCCGTCCAAACAGAAACGCCATATCCTGCCACCTGCTGGGCGTGCTTAAGCGCCTCATTATGACTCATGGGACTAACAACGGACTGCACCTCCTGTTCCGATTTGTAACATACCCAACCCAACCCATCGCTGTGACGATCCTAGCAAGATCGCTCTTAGTAAACCGAAAGAACGATAAACAACAAGCGTTAGTCAATGTATTAAAGTTAAAGGAGAACTCGGAGAGAGATATATGGTTAGAACGTCTAATGTATCGTGTGTATTCTTGCCGCTGCGCTGTGTAGCCCTTAACGCAAAAAGAGAGAGCGCTTGTGCTCCCTATAGTAGATCCCGGAGCGGAGAGGCGGCGATGTGCGATTATGCGAAGGGCAACACGCCATTTGCGGAATCGCACGGCTGCGATGGACACAGAGTGGTCGCGTTGTCTTCCGCGGTGTGGCATGTTGCCTCAACAGTGGAAATTGGGACTAGCGTCCTACTGTAGGCTGTCGTCGTAATACTCCTTCGTAATACTCATATGACGATCCGCGCAGTCCATGCGTAAACTAAAATGGAACGTGTGGCAAATTGACCTTACTGCAAATTTTCTTTACAGAGTGTTTCTCACATACATTCCAGAAATCTTTGTGCATAAAGCCTTTACTGTGGGGCACTGCCCTGTCAATCAAGTTGATCCATTTCGAACTGATATTAATGTAGGCCATTCTAATTTCGTACCATGCAATTTTCTCCACTAATTTTTCCCCGCGTATACTAATTTCCGTGTCTGTCTGTCTGTGTGTTTGTGTATGTGTGTTCGTGCGCTCCCGCACGGGTTCTCGTTGGCGCACGGGGGCGCTGCGGCGACAAGTGGCGGCCACGCGGACACGTGTAGAAAGCGGCGGGGCCGTGATTTAATTTCATTTTTTACTACAGTGACAAGTGTACTGTGCGGACTGGGGGCGGCCTGGCCTGCGGCCAGGCCGCCACTGGGACACGTGGCTACCACGGGCACCAATGCGGCACTACAGTAGTTTACGAATTTAAATTTAACACTACAGTAGAGTAAAAATATTAATACAGCCCCGATCCGCTTCGCGTTCGCTAGCGATCCCGGCGCACACCGTCTACGCGAAATCAGTAAGTTACTAACTGTCCTCTCTGCTCCGGCCGGCTTGCCGCCCGCGGTATTAGAGCGCACGCGAACGCTTACTGACATTTGACGGTGTGTGGTTTTTTACGCAGTGTCTACGCAAGAAGAGAGAGAAGAACTACGCCGCGCGCGCCGCGCCGCGACCCCGATCCGCCTCGATTTCGGCGATTCCCCGCCAGCGACCACACGTGTCACATTCCTACGATCAGCTCCTCCGCGCGCGCCCGCCCCACGTGTACCGTGCGCGCCGCTCCCTCGTGTGCCACGGCTCCCACGCGCCCCTGCGCCAGCACCCGCACCACGTGTACCACGCGCTCCAGTCCCACGTGTTATACGTTTGCCCCCGCCTATCATTCCCACATATTATACGTTTGCCCCCGCCTATCATTCCTACATTTCGTGGGCTACGTGTGCCACGTGCAATCGAGCGGCCGCGTGCGCGCGCGTTGCCAGCTGCACGTGTGCCACGTGCAATCGAGCGTCCGCGTGCGCGCGCGTTGCCAGCTGTCAGTGCTGTGTTGCGGTACTGTGGGACGGGCATGCGCATACCGAGGGGCACGTGGCTCAAGTGATTCAAGCGGGCCGCACATTCCGCTGCGAGGTGTGTACGTGCACGGTGGCAAGTGCCCACGACTTTAGGCGACACCTGGCGGGCAAGAAGCACAAGAGGAAGCTCCAATCGATCACGGGATAGTACAAGACAATAAAGGCCCTACTGTTACTTCTTTTGCTAAGTGCTCTCGCGGACGACCTAGCTGGCTGACGTTGCGTTTAGACCTTTGAGGACTGCTTGCTACGACTCATAGCGATCTACAACGGACCCCTCGCACTTGCGTCAACCCTAGCTGCACTTGCTGAGATACCACTAGCGCGCTGGGCATAACACAAATGGCGGGACCAGCAGATGAAGACGTAGCAGAAGCAATAAGGCAGCAAAGAAACGCGCGTACAAGGGCAAGGAGAGCGCAAGAGTCGGAATCTGAAGCTCAAGCACGTCGTGAGGCAGGTCGAGCTCGGGCGAGAATCCGGAGGGGACAACACACCGAATCTGAGGCTCAAGCGCGTCGCCAAACCGCCCGGGAACGTACTGCAGCACGAAGAGCAGCAGAGACTTCTGAGCAGCGCGAGGAGCGTCTTCGTCGAAACAGGGAGAGAACCAGGGCGCGCAGAGCCGGTCAATCACGGACAGAGGGTCCCAGAGAGTCTCCAAAGCTCCGAGCAGCAACGGAACGTGCCAGAGCCTCGAATCGAGCATCTATGCAACGCACGAGACAGGCTGAGAGCACTCCTGACCGCATAACTCGATTGGAGGCCTCTTGTGTCTCAATGCAACAGAGAAGAGCTGACGCGACAACCCCAGAGAGACATGAGCGTCAAGACTCAAACCGAAGATCCACAGAAGCAGCTAGAGCGGAAGAAAATACCCCCCTCCGAGATGCACGGCGCGAAGCGGATCGCAATGCGACACGAGGACCTAGAGCCGAGGAAATTACTCCTGCTCGTGAGGCGCGGCGAGACCTTGACCGTCTATCCACCCAACGATCAAGGGATGCACAAGACACACCGACTCGGAATGCCCGGCAACGATCCGACGGCCAGGCTCGAACGGCTTCTCGGCAGCTCTTCCCCCCACTACCCGAATCCTCGCCTTCGTATCGCGATCTCGGCATGGTCCATATTGAGTGTTCGCACTGCAAAGCTCTGCATTTCGTCCAAGAACGCATCGTGAGCAGCTCTGCCGCAAGGCCCATGTTTTCCACATGCTGTGGGAAGGGGAAGCTGTCACTGCCCCTTCTCACCGACCCGCCAGCTCTTCTGCGCTCTCTTCTCATCGATGATACTCCAAGGGCCCGCCGCTTCCGTAAAAACATTCGAGCATACAATTCAGCGCTGTCTATGGCGTCCGTGGTCGCCAAATGGGTGAACAGAGGGACCGGTACTTCCAATTTTAACCCCACAATGACGATGCAGGGCGAGATGTACCATTACATGGGTCCCATGATGCCATCCGAGGGGCGGGCGCCTTCCTTTGCTTCCGTTTACATTCACGACACTGACTACGGTACTCAAACGCGCACAAGGCTTGGCGGAGCCTCTACACGGCTGGAAGACACACTGTTAATGCAACTGACGCACATGCTGCACGAATGCAACCCCTACGTGCAGACTGTTCTCAGTATGCGAGAATGGGCTCAATCCCCTCAACCCAACACTCCAGCCCCGTACCAGATGGTCATCCATGCCGACCGCAGGCCAAGTCATGAGCACGTGCGCCGGTACAATGGTCCCGAAGCTTCTGAAGTGGCAGCATTGATCCCTGGAAATGAAGACGGAGAGATTGGGCGAAGAGATATCGTCGTGCGCAGGCGAGGGACTCTGAACAGTAACGGGAACGAAGTGCTGGATCCGATTTCAGTCAGTCATCGTGCATACGATCCGTTGAGTTACGTGCTTTTGTTCCCGAACGGTAGAGATGGATGGTATCCAGAGCTTCGATTCTCCAGTGATGACGACGGCAGACGTACCAAAATTACTCCGATGATGTACTACGGATGGCATTTGTTCGAAAGAGCAGGCGAGTTCAGCACAATCTTGCACGCAGCGCGACTCTTTCAGCAATATTTGGTTGACCAGTTCTGCAAAGTGGAGGCAGAAAGGCTTTCGTATCTCCGCCACAACCAGACACAGCTTCGAGCCGCCGACTACACCTCACTGCGCGACAGCCTAGGAGACTCCGGTCGTGCTGAAGATGAAGCCGATGCCGTGCGTGCGGGACGACTGTTCATTCTCCCTTCCACGTACATTGGAGGTGACCGCTATATGAGGCAGCAGATGCACGACATCATTGCTATATCGAACCAAATTGGCCACCCGGACATCTTCCTCACTATGACATGCAATCCAAGCTGGCCGGAGATCACAAGACCCCTACTGCCGAACCAAACGCCTCAGGACAGACCGGACCTGTGCGCACGTGTGTTTCGTCTGAAAATGAAAGATCTCATGTCCTTGGTCATCAACGAGGAAGTATTCGGAACCGTCGTTGCCCATGTACGAGTCATCGAATTTCAGAAACGCGGTCTTCCCCACGCTCACGTTGTATTTTTCCTAGATGAAGTCTCCAAGAATGATCTGCGTACTCCCGAAAACGTCGACCGCATTATCTCTGCCGAGATCCCGTCTGCCCAAGATCCAGAACTCCAAGAGGTCGTGCTCAAGCATATGATTCACAATCCATGTGGAGAACGCAATCCAACAGCCGTGTGCATGGGCGAGCAGTACTGCAGGAAAGGGTTTCCAAAATCGTTCAAACACGAAACCAGCCAGTCCGACAGTGAGTACTACATCACGTACCGCAGAAGGTCCCCCTCTGCAGGTGGCGTCTCCATCGAGCGACCCTCCCGTGTTGGCCGACGACAGCAATCCGTCGTGGTCGACAACTCCTGGGTCGTTCCCCACAGTCCTCTGCTTCTACGATCATTCGCTTGCCATTTGAATGTGGAACTCTGCGTGTCACGCGTTGGCGGAATCAAGTACCTCTTCAAGTATGTTTGCAAGGGACAAGACCGAGTGACCATGGAAATCACTGCCGAGAACGAGTGCCACGACGAGATCTCCAACTTCCAAGATGCCAGATACGTTTCGGCATCGGAGGCCGCATGGAGGTTATTCTCCTTTGACATTGTAGATCGCAATCCTCCAGCGGTCAGACTTACGGTGCATCTGCCCAACCACCATACAGTATACTTTGAGGAAGGGCGAGAGCAGGAGGCGGCGCTTCGACCAGCATCAGGTACGAAGCTGACTGAGTGGTTTAAAGCCAACGAGAAGTACCCAAGCGCGAGGCATCTTCGGTACCACAAGTTTCCAAGGTACTTTACGTGGAAGACACGCACCAAGTCATGGAGTCCAAGAGCAACCCTGCGAAGACGGAACGCCACCAGCGAAGAGGAAGCCTACGATTTCAGTGGTACAGGTGCCAACGTAGTCGGTCGAATCTACACTGTCAGTCCGAGGGAGGGTGAGCGCTACTTTCTTCGCCTCATCCTCACACAAGTGCCAGGGGCAACATCCTTCGAGAACTTGCGAAATATCGACGGCGAGCAGTGCACCAGCTTCCGACAAGCTTGCTTACGACTCGGTTTGCTGGCCGACGATGCCGAGTGGAAGCACGCAATCCGAGATTCATTCCGGTCAAGCTTCGTTCCTCTTTCTCATCTGTTTGCTACGATTCTGGCACACTGCCAGCCTTCGGACCCTCTCTCGCTGTGGAACGACCACCTGGACATGTTTCTCACCGATATTCGCAATCGTGCACGCAGACAACCCATTCGAAGACAGCAGCTTCGCGATGATCACCACGCCACATCTTACGTACTTCGAGAGGTACAGGAGGCTCTGCAGACCGTGCGATCCGACTGGACGCTCGCAAACTTCGGACTCCCACTGCCCGATGACAGCCTGCCCGCTTTGGAACAGCAAAACGAGATCGAGACCCCCGAAGCACGAGCGCGGCAGTGGGAAGGGCGACTACAGACGTCGTTGCCGCTGTTGAACACAAATCAACGTCATGCCTTTGACGAAATAGTGGGCTCCTTGCTTCCAGGCGTATCCGTCTCTGCATTGCTTCAAGGATCCTTAAGCGCCGTTGCGGGACCTTCTATGCCGACACGAAGTGGTCGTCTCTTCTTCCTCGATGCTCCTGGCGGAACAGGCAAAACATTCGTGCTCAGCGCCATTCAAGACTTCCTTCGTACGCGCCGTAAGCAGGTCATCGCTGTCGCTACGTCTGCTGTTGCTGCTGTGCTGCTCGACGGTGGACGCACCGCTCATTCCGTGTTCAAGATTCCCATTCCTGTATCTGCCGAAAGCACGTGCAGCTTCTCCGCAAACTCCGACACAGGCCGTACACTGCAACAAGTCGATCTCATCATATGGGACGAGATCGTCATGTGCCATCGACATTGCATTGAGACTGTCGATCGCTCCCTTCGAGACTTGATGCAAACCGACCGGCCCTTCGGAGGAAAGTTCCTCGTGCTCGCTGGAGACTTTAGACAAATCCTTCCCGTCGTTCCGGGCGGGTCCAGAGGTCAAATCGTGAGTGCGTGCGTCAAGGCTTCCCCGCTGTATCGAGAGTGCCGATTCCTCTGCCTTACCGAGAACATGCGCCTTGTTGCTCTCCGAGCGGACCCTGCAGCAGATGTGGAGGCTCTCAACTTTCCAGAATTCCTCCTCAGCGTCGGGGAAGGCAGGCTTCAAGGCGAACAGCGCCCGGAGTGGATCTCACTACCACAGTCCGTTGCGTTCGAGCACACAATCCGCAATTTATGCCTCAAGGTCTTCCAAGGCATTCGAGACAATCACGCCGACCCTGCCTGGCTCACCAAGCGCGTTATACTCACCACAAAGAACAGGCCGCTCGCGGAAGTCAACGAGGTCATCGGCAACATGATTCCGGGATCGTATCGAACGTATTTGAGCGCAGACAAGGTCGAGAACGAAGACACCAACGCGCTGATCTATCCCACAGAAATGCTCAACACCTTGACCGCCGGATCTGCTCTACCAGACCACAAGCTCAAGCTCATGAAAGGCTTCATCGTCATGCTTCTGCGCAATTTCGATCCCGCTACCGGTCACGTCAACGGCGCGCGATATGTCATCGAGAACATGACCAACAACCTGCTCTTTCTACACGTTACCACCGGGTCACACCAAGGCAACAGACTGTGTCTTCCTCGAATGCCCTGCGGACCAGGAGACGACAACTTTCCCATCCCGGGCTTCACCCGAATGCAGTTCCCCATTCGCACGTGCTTCGCCCTTACAACGAACAAAGCGCAAGGCCAATCCTTCGGTGGCCGCATTGGTCTCGACTTACGAGATCACTGCTTCTCGCACGGTCAACTCTATGTCGCACTATCAAGGACTACTCACCCAGGCAACGTCACTGTCCTCACTCGAGAGTCCAATGAAACCACGCGAAACGTAGTGTACCCCGAGGTCCTTCAGTAGTTACGAAAAAAAGTAAACGCCATTGTCTTTACATATTTTCATTGCCACCCTTCCCAAATAGTGTTCCTCCACGCTTCCTTGGCTCGGCGCGCGAAGCGCGCACGGAGCCCACTTGTCCCCAGACTAAATCCCGTTCCCGGGTGTACAGTATCTACAGTATTACAGTAGCCTTACTACCCCCTCTCCTGATAAAGCGCCCTACAGTAGTTTGGAATATACAAGAGTACCGTATCAGACGAAGGGCGAATCGAGCATGCGGACTGGAGATGGTTTTTAGGGGGGTTTATTGGAAACCACGTCTCCTCCGGAAACGAAATCCAATGAACGCTCGACAACTTATCTTTCCAACAAGAATGGGGGTTTCTGAGACACATTTTATACCGGAACCGCCTCCACTACACCAGCTCTCAGACACACGCAGACTTCCACAAATCTCAAATTATATAGATTCATCTCCTTCGCTTGCCATGACTTCTATGCTTTCCCGAACAACGCGCCTGCTTCCTTCAGCACAGGACGTGCTATCCCTCTGAGGCAAACTATGCGAAGTAATTGCATGTGCTCAAGGCACGATGTCAACCTGCGAAGTGACGCAACGAATTGCCAGCATCTTCAAGTCTCCTTTGTGGTCCTACCGTCCATTCGCACCTCTCCTGGAACCTCTCTTCGGTCCTTCGCAGTCTATCAACCAGTGCATCCTATACGTCGACGACTGCGATTTACTGCACGGAAGGACCCGACTCCCAACAGAACAGCAGTTCGAAAGCAAAGAGAGCCTTCCGTTTCCTTGAAACGCACCCCTAACCAGATCTGGTCTGCTGGTGAGCGACCACCTGTCAATGGCATATTCCCTCCTGGAAATCTCCCATTTTCCGTCGAACTAGATTTCGTATTGAATCATCCCATCACCGACACGATAATCGCTTTCCTGCTGGCCCTTAATTGCCTTGCCTTTGCCTTGCAAACTATAGACGTCGGACCAGAACTTCACCGGGCTTTCGAAAGCTACGAATCCAATCTCTCCATCGTTTTTTTGATAGAGTATTTTGGGCGATGGTATGGGAAAGGGCTCTCTCCAAGGTTCTTGCTGACTAGGGATATGCTCCTTGACTTTGTCGCGGTTTCGCCTATCGGATTCGCGTTCGTTGATCAATCTGAAGCACTTTTCGTTAGGATCCTTCGTCTTACCAGAATCTTTCGCATCCAAAGAGTGTTTTTGGACCCTGCCAATAGCATCATGGACGGAATGAGTGGCGCCCAGTTGCGCCTGGCGAGCATCGGCCTGTCGTTATTCAGCTTGTTATATGTTTCGGCGGGATTGTTTTACCAAGTCGAGAAGGACGTTAACCCTGCAGTTCTTAACTTTTTCGATGCCTTTTATTTCTCCACTGTCACGCTTTTCACAGTTGGGTTCGGGGATGTGACTCCACTTACCCCCATGGGAAAAACGAGTACGTTTGATGCCTTTGGCGCACCGAAGATGTGTATCGAGGTTTGTAGCCTTGTAGCACGCATGTAAGAACTATTTTGGTGTCACTCTCTTCTCTCTCATACTGACGGTATTCGTGTCCCCTTCACATCTTTTCGAAAATCTCACTTGATTCCGGATAGTAACCGTTATGACAGTGCTGACTGGGGCAGTAATAATTCCATTTAAGCTATCGGCTATTGAAACAATCACGAAGACCAAGAGAAGACTTTCTGAAGCTTCCGCTCCCAGTCCCGTTGAAGAATTGAAAAATGGACTCACCCCGATCTCCGTTGCTATGTATAATCCCATGTTGGAGGTACGGGTTCCGTCATGGGCATGATGATTTCTTTCTGCCGTTTTGCCCCAATTTTATTTGAGGCAGACATTTGTGGAAACGTATTGAACAACAGAAACCAACTGAATTTTTTTTTTTTTGCTGCGGGATCAGTGCAATCAATGCTTTCTCATAGGACATCAAATTGATGCTAGGTTCTGCAGAAACTGCGGTGCCCTTCTCAGAAAAAAGCGCTTCGATTGAGAGGTTGGTAATGTATCACAGGATTTTGTTTATTTATTCATGAATATTTTTCGGAGAAGAGTGAACCCAGCAGCCGCCTCGGTGACACCAGTAACGAAGTATGTGTCCTGATTTTCCTCTTACTCAGACACGTTATCATGAAGGGAATATCAAGTTTCCCCTATACTGTGATTTTCCTTCTTCAGGGCCGTTCTACGAGGCGGATGAGCGAAGCGAAAGCAAAAGCTTTGTACAATTGTTTTTGTAGTATAGTATACGTACAGTAGTGTACCGTATTTACATAGCCCAGAACAGCAAAAAAATGCAATATTTGATCACTTTCGTGGCGCTTGCAGCCCTGCTGAAGCAGGGCTGTTCACATGCTCTGCGAATACGGCATGAGAGTGCCTAATTTACTGACGCAGATACTGTAGAGTGCCCCCCTTAAAGAACATTGAGAATCAACCCTACTGTACAGTATAAGAACTGTTCCAAATCGGCGTTGCAGATTGCCAGCACAAGTACAATTCCCAATGCTGGTGCATAGCGTATGATAAAAAGTTTATTCACAAGCAGGGAGAACCTGCCACTTCGTTACTCTCTTTATCGATTTTCGCGAGTCTGCAAGAAAGGGAAAACCCAAGTTTTGTTCAGGTCGTGTTTCCGCGATTGCGAAGAGTATTCAGAAATCTTTATGATTTATCTTCAGGCGATTCGAGAACTGACGCCGATTTCTTCCGGCCCAAATCGATTAGGAAGTATTTGAAGCTTTCATTCAATCCACGTTCACTTCCCCGATTGCCAACGCATCTCGTGCATCATACATAATGTCCCAGGAGCGAACTATATTAGGGGACGAAGACGGCTTTTTCCCAGGTCGCGTAGTTCGGGTGGGGCCGGTTGTCGACTGGAAGGATCTTCGAGATCTCAGCTTTGAAAAGGAACGAGCCGGCCAAGTCGAGAAGAGGAAATCGATGACTACCCATGGAGTCGTCTCTTCGAAGTCCTTGGAGTCATCAACGACCTCAAAGGATCGCCCAGGTTCTTACTCGTCAACAATGAGTAACGGCGGCGATGAAATCCTGCTGGATGCTTCGAAGACTGCGGAAAGTCCAGTCCGTCGGACGCGCTCCCTCACGATCAGTCCAGTTGTAACTACCGCAGAGAAACTGGATAGTCTTCTTGCCGAGCCCGTCCTGAACTTAGATGCAATGAAAAAGCTTGCATGGGCAGGCCTCCCAAACATAGCAAGGGCTGCAGTTTGGAAGATACTGCTTGGTTACCTGCCGACAAATTCCGCGAGACGCAAGGACACCTTAGAGAGACGGCGACGTGAGTATCGTGAAGCGGTCGAACAACATTATGACTCGTCAAATGAGCCACCACAGGAAACAACTGCCCAAACGCAGGGTAGCCACACCTACAGTCGCGTTGGGCACCAAGATGATATTACGATGCGACAGATATCAGTAGATCTTCCACGGACATGTCCAGGGCAGGCGCTTTTTCACATTCCAGAAGTCCGGCTGGCTTTGCAAAGAATTCTATACGTATGGGCGACAAGGCATCCCGCTAGCGGTTACGTCCAGGGGATGAATGATTTGGTCACTCCTTTCATGTTTGTGTTTCTGTCAGAGTTTGCAAAAAAGGGGACCGAACGTTCCATTTTGACCATGACAGATATGTCGGTATTCGAAAACCCACAGAAGGCCCTGGCAAATGCGGAAGCTGACGCCTACTGGTGCCTAACTGCACTTTTGAACGACATCCAGGACTATTATACGTTTTCGCAGCCAGGGATCCAGCGGCGTGTACACTATCTGAGAGAACTTGTAGCTCGAGTGGATAGCAATCTTTGCACTCATTTAGAGGATGAAGGCCTGGATTTCTTGCAGTTTGCTTTTCGATGGATGAATTGTCTATTGATGAGGGAGCTTCCGTTTCCCCTAATAGTTAGGGTTTGGGATACATACCTGGCAGAGTCTGATGGCTTCGCCCTCTTTCATGTTTATGTCTGTGCTGCTCTTTTAGTCTCGTTTAGTGAGGAACTGCAGGAAATGGATTTTCAGGATCTTGTGATGTTTCTTCAAAACCTCCCGACAGAATCATGGACATCTAAGGACATTGATGTCATTATAAGTCAAGCTTATATGTGGAGGACAATTTTCGGTGCCGCCCCTAGCCATCTACAATGACAACGCTTTTTACGACACACACTTCAAGGTGTTACTATTCACAGCAACTCAAGCAGATACAGCATTCATGATGTCTGGCAATGGTCAATGATGAGCATCTCCGCTTCGTATGATGCCGTCAGGTCGATGTTGCGCTTGATAGTGCAGCACTTTCCCCAAATCTGCGCTGCTTCAAGACACAGAGTCCACTGGGAACTGAATTCACCATCCCCAGTATTATAATCCTTCCGGCGGGCTCATGCTGAGTAGCTTTCAGCGCTTGCGGGCTCGCTTGTCATCGTACCGTGAAGACATGGATATCAGTTATTCCGCCCGAACAAGCTTGTTGCTGAGATTGAGATGTCGTCGCTTTGATGCGCCCGGCCTTGAGCGCAACGTCAATTTGCGGAAAAATCATTCTTGACGGATCGTATGCGCAAAGATCTATTCGCACACGTGTCGTGCATCGGCACCGTACGCACGGCACTACTGTACTGTACTGAAGCACCCATCCGCGCCGTCCTCTGAGACGTGCCTTCTGTAATCCTCTTAAGCTTCTGAACTTGCAATGTTCCGTACTTACAACAGGTTTCCCGTCCTGGGGAATAAGTAAGAAATCTTGGTGCAGTCAAATATGCAATACGAAACAGACAAAGCCAGAACATTCCAGTTCAGTACCGAAGGTTCAATACCACTAATAAATGCTGGTGTCACAGCCGAGTTATCAGGAATCCTTCGTGAAAGAATGGGGATAACCTCTTTGTTTCCCATGCAGGAAGCTGTTTTCTCCTATCTTCAAGATGCTTCAGCCAAGCGCATAGTTGGTGACGTGATACTTTGTGCCCCAACGGGAAGTGGAAAGACGCTTGCGTATGCATTGCCAATTGTTCAAGGGATTATTGGTCGCAAGCTTCCTCGCCTTCGAGCAATCATTGTTCTTCCAACAAGAGATTTAGCGACCCAAGTTGCAGGCGTATTCAAAGAATTAACTGGCAACTTTGGTATTTCGGTGGCTCTCGTTTCTGGTGCCACGTCAATCGTTGTTGAGCGAGCATCTTTGAAAACAGCAGAGATCCTTATTGCAACTCCAGGTCGCCTCGTCGACCACATCGAGAATGGTGATGCTTTGAGTCTGCGATCCGTTAGGTACTTAGTGTTGGATGAATCCGATCGATTGCTTCAAGATGAGTATCAAGGCTGGATCGACTACGTTCTACCTTTGCTTGGAACTGATCGGAACCTCAACAGCAAACAAGCAGAACAGTCGTGCAGAACCCGTTCCACTGCTGGGATCATTGCGCTTGCTATCCAACCCGAAGTGTCTGCACGGGCCTTCATGAGGTCTGGTCAAACCTCGCAAGAAAGCGTTCGAAAAGTTTTAGTCTCAGCAACGCAAACTAAGAATCCAAAGCGATTGGTGCGGCTAGGTCTGCGACATCCCAAGTTTTTTGAACCAATCTCAGAGCGTGAGGATACGTCGCTGGGTAACAATTACAATATCCCTTCATCGCTATCCGAAAAGGCGTGGATAATTCGGGATGCTGAGGATAAACCGATTGTCTTGTTAAAAACCCTCGGGTGGATTACACCGGCCTCATCGGATATGCATAACGATCCCGCCGCACAGGCAGTTCTTGCACTAAGCGGCACCAAGCTTATTTTCACGAAATCTATTCAAGCGGCGCACCGGTTATGTAGACTCCTTGAGATATTTGCGCTTTTGCTAGGGGTTGAAGGCGACGTTATCGAAATGTCCGGAGATCTGTCTCCTGCGAGGAGAAAACAAGTTATGAAAACCGTGCATGAACGCAAAGTCGTGCATCCGAACTCCACTGTCTCACCACATAGCTCCCGATTCTTGGTGGTTGTCTGCAGTGATGTCCTTGCCCGAGGGGTGGATATCTTCAACATGGACGCAGTCATAAACTATGACGTACCGGTCCACATCAGGACGTACGTGCACCGAGCAGGACGGACAGCTCGCGCGGGACGTGCTGGGACTGTTGTTACTCTGTTGTTGTCGAAACAGGCACACCATTTTCGCGAGATGGTGAGACAGGCGGACCGCGGGGATAGGAAAATTCAAGCAAAGAACTTGGGCTTGAGGGACGAAGAAAGAGCTTCTTTCATTGAAAAACTGGACAACGCTCTTAGATTGCTCCGCCGACTCATCAGCAGGGAAACGCTTGGTTTGTTATCAGCGGACAAACCTCTTCCGGAATACGCTCGCCTCGAGGTTTGTAACCTGTTTGAAGAAATGAAAGCAGATGGGTGGGCTCAAAACGAAGACGCAACGTTGCCCGACGACATCAGAAAAAGACGGATCACGGAAAGTCTCGAGCCTGCGAAGAGGGGGAGACTGGATTTGCCGCCTGGAGACTCGCCTACCGCGATACCTACTGACGGGCTGGATAACATTGAAGCTACGGCAGAAAACGAAACGCTTGGTGGTGAAGATGAATTTCACGATTTCCTCTTCTCACAGATAGCAAGGAACCTACTTTCCGAGAAAACTCGGTCTTTCCGGGCCATGTGAGCGATGGTAGTGAGCGGTGATGTACGATACGTAGCTTTTGAGGTTTGGGAACCGGGTATCAAGACAGTCGGCACAGCTCGTAGAGGGATGGCAATGTCCTATGTGCAACGTCTAGTGTTGATCGAAATTTACAACCGTTAATGATCCTGTGCCTCCGCATCCGCTTCTCTTTCGTATTCCACCTCAACCCGCACACCCCCTCGTGAATTCCGCAATCGACGACCCTTTCTCCGCTTTTTCTCCAATGCATCATCCGACCCGGCCTTTGCGCGGCTGCGAGCTCGTTTACGAACATAATCCTTGACCTCGTCTTGACCGATGTCTCGATCAACGCCAGCGCCGCCTATATCGTCATCCTCACTGTCGCTGTGACTGTCAAAATCAAAATCGCCGGATACTGCAAGCGGACCCGCTTCCTCAATGTCTCGGTCGAGCTCGTCATCCGACTCAGCCTCGATCTCGGCTTCATATTCATCACCACTCTCAAGTTCTTCCTCCATCTCTTCTTCCTCTCCTATTTCGGTCTCCAAAACCTTCTCGTAGTGATCTTGCGCAAAGTTGTAAATATCCCCGTAAGCACCACTGCGAAGCCTCTCCAGTAGCTCTTTTTCGATTGCTGTTTCAAGCTTAGCAGCCGTAATAGCCTTCTTTTCTCTAGATTCCTCCCGACGTTCGAGCTTCTTTTTAACTCCAACCAAGCGTGTTTTGCTGCGCAGCAGTATCCGACGTTTTCGTATCAAGTACTGCGTCATCTTCGTGAGTCTTTGCTTCGCTTTGTGGACCTGAAACTTTGGCCAGTATTCAAGATGCTTATCAATCTGCGTCAGAGCTCGACGATAGTTGGGCGAGAGTTTGATCCTCTCCCATAGATTCCTCGGAGAGTGGGCTCGCTCAGCTGTCTTGATGAAAAGGTAAAGGGCATCATTGTTCTCAACTATAGTTGCATAACGAGAATTAGCCAGCGGACAAGACTTTTTCTCGCAGAGACCTGTGAGGTTGTATTTGTTTCGACAAAACTTTTGTTTCACTGTCTTTACCTTGTAGCTGCAAAAGTGGTTGTTAAGTGTACCCCAAATGACATCATCATGCTGCATGATCGATGCGACAAGCAATGGGAACTGCGGAAAAGCGGTCCTCGAAGAACTGGAGAAAGCATAGACGACTGGAAAACGCCACAATTGGTTGTGATAGTGTCCGCCTCGATACTGAGATGAGACTTAGGTGAGTTGGGGATGGGGATTCCGTCGGCGGTGGCGTCAACTGCTGTCTTTCTCTGCTCCGGAAAAAATCAATAAAATTTCCGCTGGGAATTTTGCTTGGTACTGTACTGTTGCGAAGATTTAGAATGGTGTGTACGTGTAAGCGGTGTAAGAGCTTCTCCACTCGCACAAAATTTGCAGGTCCAATGCAAATTCTAGACTTGTAACCAGGATACATTAAATGAAAACATTAGTGTGGCAAACGACCACCTACACATGTGACGGGCGGCGCGCCGAAGGCCCGTCACGTAGAGTTTTAGGTGACAAACCAAAAACACTTTTTTTGCAATAAATTGTGGCTGTGGTGCTGCTCAAAATCTGTGTAACGCCATATCAGATAAATCTCTTTCAATTGAGCAGCTTCAATACGACATAAGCGTTCAACCAGGATTCGCAGACTATGGTCGTTTATGCAAGTCAAATAATCAATTCGTCTGTTTCGATAGCGTGAAAGGGACATTTCCGTGGATTTTTAGTCGAAGAAACGACTTTTTGGGTCGTTTTCTTTATGTCACAGGCACTGTCTTCTGAATCTTGAAATATTTCATGATGTTTAACGTGACTAGATTCTAATTCTGTTGCCATACTAAATTTGCCCTTCCAGTCGATCTTCGTTTTACTCTTTAACACTACTTCTGGAAGTAGCGTTTGCAATAGGCGGAGGGAGCAGCTAGCGGCATCCCTCGAATACACCTATTCTCTGCGTAGAAACATACCCCTTCTGCAGCTGTTGCACAGCTGTGCAACAGCTGCAGAACGTGGCACCACGTTATACAAGACCCTAAAAATATTGTAATATTTCATTTACTCATCACGATTTATTGCCACTATTGTCGCGCACAGGGGCAACTGTGCAAAATCACCGTTCACTGTAATCTTCGTAAAAGATCAACTCTCCCCGAATTGCGCGCCATGTCTTCGCAAACAGAAACGATTCTCACAATATCCATCAATTTGCCCGCCTTTTTGCCGCCTTTCCAACATCACCCTGAAAACACACCAACCAATACCTTATTACGTTGTCAACTAACTCATCGCCACGACCAACCCCTTTCACATTTCTCAATCACCAATATGCCTCCACGCATCAATCTACCAACCACCATAGCCCCTCTCGAACTGCTCGAAGAGCATACCGCTGCACGAAACGAAGCCTTAAATCAGTATGGCGAGGCTCCCGACCTTTGCGACAGTGACGAGGATCTCGAAAGCAAATGCCCTCAAATTGACCGCTTTTTCGAAGAAGATGGAAATCAAGCCATTCGCCAAATGACAAATTTCAGTTTCGTCGAGTTCAACGGGATTTGGAACCAGTTGAGGTCTCACATCTCCCAGCGCTACAACACAGAAAGAGGTTCCAAATCCCCTATCAAGCCCAAGGATCTCTTGTTCATGACCATGGCAGTGTTGAAACACGGGACCAAGTGGGATCTAACGGCGTATTTGTTTGGCCTCAAACCGGCGACATTCGAGAAGAGGGTTTCTGATATGATAAAAACAATTTCGGACTTCTCGTTCAATCGCTTCGTCACAAATTATGCGGATCGATATACGATGGACCGCTTTATTGCCGACAAAACAGTTTTTAAACATTACAAGCTGTGCAGATACGCCATCGACGTGACGTTTCAGCAGAGCTTTCGCCCTGGGGGTACGCTGGAAGAGGTCAAGAAATATTCTCTGGAAAACACAATCTATACTGTTTTAAGGTAGAAGTCTCCGTTCTCCCAAACGGACTGGCAATATGCGCAAGTTAACATCACCCTGGCTCTATCGCCGATATTGAAATCATGAGGGACATGATGGCGTTTCACGACGATGCTTTAGAGAAGACAGAAAGCGAAAAGGCGATCACAGATCTCGGCCCATTTTCCGACAGGTTTCCAAATAGCTGGGCAGTCCTTCTGGATAAAGGGTATACGGGATTGGAGGCTGATTTGAGGGCTATAATACCAGGGAAAAACCTCGCGGCGGAGTTTTAAGCATACCGGATCGAAAAGAGAAGGAAAAAAGCGTCGGACAGGGTGATAGTCGAGATTTTTTTGGGCGTCCGGGAGGACTATGGGCAGTTGTTCCGAATAAGTTTCGTTGGAAGGAGGACAGCTACGATAGCATTTTCCGTCTCACAATAGCTTTTACCAACCTACACATCAAGTGGCATCCGCTACGAGATGCCGATGGTCGTACTTATGAGCGGTATTTGAAGCGATTGTTCGCTATTGCAGACACTGCCGTCAAGAAGCGAAAGCGCGCTCAATCGTCTTATCGTCAGCGACGTCAGAGAATGATGCAGCGCAGTGTTCGTGGTGAGCAGGAAGCTGAAGAAGCGGTTCTGTTCGAAGACGAGGAGGAGGAGGAGAGCGTTTCTGTGTGAGTAAAAATGCAGAGAGATTCTAGGTTCATCTGCGAAAACATTGGCACTTGTTAAGGGAGAGCTGCTGTCTGAGCATTTGTTGTGTAATTGCCGGGTTGGGTGGCGTTTGGCAGAGTGATTTAGTAAAATTAGAAAATACCTGATCTTCCGGATTTTTGCCATTACCTCCGACGCAAGCCGCAACTGATCCGCAATCTAATGAACGCTCCTGGACGCAACATTTGCTAAAACGCTCGTATTATTTCACATCCTTTTGTGCACTGTATATTTCTTTCCGTTGCACTTTAGGTTACTTATGACCAAACAGCAGTTAATGTAAAAAAGCAGCGCAATTAAAAATATTTTGCTAGTGTTGCAATGGCGTAGACTGCGACATATAGTGTTGGTTCGCAAGATCGAGGAATCCATGATCCTGCCTCAGCCCTCTTACACCGTTTTTACGAATAACTCTTTCATTATGAATGATATATCCAACGCATACAAATCCATAATTTTGTTCTACTAAACTGAAACTTACTGCAACTTTTAGTAGTTTTAAAGTTAAACCAGACTGTAGTGGCAGTCCGGAATTTCCTCTTTGCTTTCGAGATGACGTAAAATGCAATACCAGCCGTCCTTAGGGACATAAAGCAACGAGATGTTTTGTAATAACATCTTCTAGGAGTACATGCGTATAAGTATAATTACTTCACTCGGTAACATGTTTCAGCCATCGAGTCGCACTGGAGAGCTTGTAAGGACCTCCATGTTGAGTGTTCAACAACTGAGTTCACACTGGAGTTCTCAACGACGCCGCAAGCACTTACGCTTATTTGATACTATTTTGATACGCGAAGCCCTCCTGCCGGCCATAAGTGTCAGATAAATTACTGTAAAGGGTACAGTAGAGAGTAAAAAGGGAGCACCGGCCAAACGCGGCGTGGGGTGCAAGTGATACGCACAGGCCGGGTTGGCGCGGGGTGCAGTGGTCGGAGGGCGAGCCACAGGGGAGAGACGGGACGCGTTGGCGCGAGGTTGTCAGTGGTGGTTGGTTTTTTGTTGATGGTAAGATTGATGCCGAGCACCGGGGTCGTTTACTCGTAGACATTTATAGTACTTTAGATCTCGAGGAGATACTTACCAAATAAAATAAAAGTTGTCACTACGCTACCAAAAGGAGGGTTGCTACCCAGGAAGCCTTTCAAACGTACCTAATAAAGTAATTCTTAAAGCTAGGTAACATATTCCATAAGGGAATAGTACACTTGAGGCCTAAAACGGCAAAGGTGGGTGGTAGGTGACAAAAAAGGGTAGGCTACAGCTAATTTGTAGGCTACAGTACGAATCAGGCAACATATTATCACAAGTAGTCCCAATCTAAACACAATTCACTTTAACACTCCGGCAACTTTAAATGCTAAATTTCATTTTGTCCATTTCATTGACGTTAGATCCATTGTTCGACGCGGTGGATGAGTTGGGATGATGATAGGATGATTTCCAAGATAGAGCTGGGCTTCACTTTTGTTAACGCATCTGCTGGGTTGTACTCGGAACGGATAAAACCGATATTTTCGATCTCGTTGCGGTGGTATGAGTCTTTAACAACCGTAATGTCGATCAGGATTCTTTTCTCAGTCGTAAGTGTGGCCTTTGTTACCACATCGAACAGTGACAGACTGTCAGTGAGCATTACAATTGCAAGTTTTTGAGATAGCATGTTTGAAAGGTCATTACTATTGGCAAATGCCATGTCAAAGGCGTCAGCGAACGCCATAGTTTCGCCGCCAAGTACTAAGCGAGATACACGTCTCGATTTGTGGGATGACCAGAAGATAGGCTGACAAAGATTGGTGTTATCGGCGAGGAATATGATATAGCCGAGCTGTGACGATCCATCGTGATTGTTTCCAAATGAGGCGTCAGATTATACTTGTAGCCGAAGTGACCCTTTATTAAGTGAAAGATATTTTAGCGACAAATCCGGGCTCTTTCGTAAGTGCTGGACTACAATGTTCAACGATTTTGTCAGTTTTAATGGTTCTTGTCGAAACATTTCCTGTGTTACTTGTGCGGACTGAGCAACAGCGCAGCTTATGTCTGGTCGATTCTCTGTCAGCCTGCAAGTCGGGCTCGTAACGAGCGAACCTTAGTAAAATCAGCATTTTTGGGAAGTATTTCGAGACGACTCATGTATCTCTTCTGATGCATTATGAACCCAGACTCGTCTTTATCGATTTGTACTCCTGCGAACTGAACGTGATCGTATTCTCTTTTTCTGCACTTAAGCGATTTCTCAAGTTTCCGTGACGTAGTGCGGAACCTTTCATCTCCTGCTTGCAAGCATTCATCTACATATGTAGCACACAAGCCGGATAGCTTTTCATCGAGTTGTTGGAAGAAGAAGGCGCCGTCGGTAATATTTTGTTTCATGCCAAGTTCTTCTATGAGATAACGTTTTGGGGTTCTTCCCCAATAGTCACCACTGTCAGCCGGTCCGTACAGGGGTTTGAGAAGTTTGAGTACTTGGTCTGGTCCTAACGCAAACTCACGAGAAGGTTTAATGTAAACGTCCCTCATAAGATTCTCAGCGCTTTGTAGGTAGGCTCGTGT